AGACACAGACACAGAAACACACACACATGCGCAGACGCAGAGACGCAGACATAGACACAGAGACGGACACAGACACCGACACAGACACAGATGCACAGACACACAGAGACTCAGACATACAGACACACACACACAGACACACAGACCCACACACACACAGACCCAGACCCAGACCCAGCACAGACAGAGGCACAGACACAGGCACAGACACAGACGCAGACGCAGACGTAGACGCAGAAGCAGACACAGACGCAGACGCAGATGCAGACGCAGACACTGACACAGACACTGACACAGACACAGACACACACACAGACACACAAACATAAACACAGAACCACACACAAACATAAACACACACACACACACACGCACACACAAACAAACAATCAAACAACAACGTAAACACACAAACACACGACTGCAAGACGCGTGCAAAGACACAATCGCACCAACACAAAACCACAAGCGCACAAACACAAGCAGACACACAAGCACACACACACACGCAGACACACGCACAGAGAGACATACACAAAGACACAGGCGCACAAACACACACACACACAAACACACACACACAGAGACACATACACAAAGACACAAGCACACAAACACATACAACACAGACGGCCAGACGCACAAAGACACAAAAACACACACACAGACGCACACACAGACGCACACACAGACGAACCGCACACACACGAACAGACGCACGAACAGACACAGAGACACAGAGACACAGAGACACCGAAACACAGACACAGAGACACCGAAACACAGAGACACAGAGACACAGAGACACAGAGACGCGGGGTCACAAAGAACAACAGACACAGAGACACACAGAGACAGACACAGACACAGACACGGACACAGACACAGGCGCAGACACAGACGCAGACACGGACACAGACACACATGCGCAGACGCAGAGACGCAGACATAGACACAGAGACGGGCACAGACACAGACACAGACACAGATGCACAGACACACAGAGACACAGACATACAGACACACACACACACAGACACACAGACCCACACACGCAGACACAGGCCCAGACCCAGCACAGACACAGGCACAGACACAGACACAGACACAGACACAGGCACAGACGCAGACGCAGACGCAGAAGCAGACGCAGACGCAGACGCAGACGCAGACGCAGACGCAGACACAGACACAGACACGGACACAGGCACACACAGACACACGCACAGACACAGACACACACAGACACAGACACGCACACACACACACACACGCACACGCAGAAACAGACACACACACACACACGGACACACACACACAGACACACACAAGCGCACAGACAGACCCGCAGACACAGACACACACACAGAGACACACACACAGACACACACACAGACACACACAGACACACGCAGACACACACAGACACACGCAGACACACACAGACACAGATACAGACACAGACACAGACACAAAGACACACACACAGACACGCACACACACAGACACACACACACAGACACACACACACAGACACACAGACACACACACACACACACAGACGCACAGGCGCACACACACACACACAGAAAGACACAGAGACACACACAGACACACACACACAGACACACACAGACACACATACGCGCGCACACGCAGATACACACAAACAGACACGCGCACACTCGCACAGACACACACACACACACATTTTCAGGCGCAGACACACACACATTCACAGACACAGTCACACAGTCACACACGCACACACGCACACAGACATACGCACACACACACACACCCAGACACACACACACAGGCCCAGACACAGACACGGACACAGACACACGCACACACTCACAGATGCAGACAGACACACACACACAGACACACACAGACACACACAGACACACACACACACACAGAGACACGGAGACCCACAAACACAGGCACACAGACATAGACACACAGACACGCGCAGACACTCACACACAGACGCAGACACAGACACAGACACAGACACAGACGCACACACAAAGACACACAGACACACACACACAGACACACGGAGACCCACAAACACACGCACACAGACATAGACACACAGACACGCGCAGACACACACACAGACACAGATACAGACACAGACACAGACACAAAGACAGACACAGACACAGACACAGACACACACACAGACACAGACGCGCACAGACACACACACACACACACACACAGTCGCGGACACAGTCACAGAGACAACAGAGACGCAGACACAGACACAGACACAGACTGACATAGACACAGACACAACACACACAGACACAGCAACAGACACAGACGCAGACACAGACACACAAACACACCACACACACACACACACAGACACACCCACATCGAGACACACAGCCCAGACCGCCGCACATACACACCCGCACACTTTCGTTTCAGCAGCTGAGGAGACTTGGGCGTGCTTGGCGCTGCGAGAGCTTAATGGCTTAATGTGTTTCGCGGATTTTTGGACTAGTTATTGTCATTTTTGAACCATCTTTTCGGCCACATGCGTGGCCCAAAGGTAGCAGCGCCCTTTGTGTAGATTTCACTCAAACTGGTTTGGAGGTCTAAATTTGTCAGAGAGCCCTGAGGCTGTTTGAAGGCCAAGCTCGACCCTGTGGGGCTCAATCTACCAAATGGACATCTGCTTCCTGTCTGTGGCCACTTTCAGGGATGTCCCTGTCGACACGCTCCACCAACTGCGTGTCCCTTTGGGGTACTTTTTGAACGGTCCCGACTTGCTCGGTTGCTCTCCGAGCATCCAGCTTTTCCATGCTACAGCCTGCCTCTGCATCAAGTTGGCGGTGACCAGCTGTAAGCTGCTTGCTGGCGAAAGAGTTTTACTGGAGCTACGGTCCAGCCTTGCCCTGTGAGGCTTGTGGCATTGGTCAGTTTCTCAGGGCCTGCTGCAGTGAATTCTCAGACTGTATGAGCTGTTTGAGAACCCATGTCTTCGTGATGCGCAGGGTTCCTTGCTACCGAAGTAGTCAAGGAAGACCAGGCATTTGACCTTAAACCAAGCGTGTAGCGTGTCTCATTGGCCTTTGGTCAAGGAATCCTGCATTTCATGCAGCGATTGAGGCTGCGAAGGTGCCCATTTGGTGCTACCAGTCCTTTCACAGTGACAAATGCCCTATATTTTCCGTCCTTTTGGGATGGTTTGAACCGAGCATCATCATTGTCATTGATTTTGATTGAAGGGGGAAATACAGGGAACCCAGAGCCGAGCCAATTGTGCGAGCGAGATCTCGCAGTGTTTACATCGCGGCGTGCTCCGACCTGGATTGTTGGATTGTTTGATTGTTTGATTGCACGTTTGAGTGTGTCAATCCTATGGGATCCCTTCGCGTAGATTTCACTTCAACCGGTTCTCACTGCAGGATTTCGGGATTTATGTTTGGAGGTCTAACTTTGTGACACTGGGGCCTTTTGAAGGCCAAGCTCGACCCTTTAGGGTTCAAACCGCTAGGAAACAGGCTGGAAGTCGCGCGTTTGACACCATTTATTGTGAATGGGGGTTCTAGAAGTTGACGTGTCAAGCTGGCACGAAAAAGAAACCCTTGCCATGTTCAGTTCTTTTTTTAGTATCCAAATGGATATTTGCTTCCTTTCTGAACCACTTTCAGGGATGTCCCTATCGACACGCTCCGCGCGTTGGGACCTGTCAGTTTGCCAACTGCGTTTCCCTTTGGGGTACTTTTTGAACGGTCCTGACTTGCTCGGTTGCTCTCCGAGCATCCAGCTTTTCCATGCTACAGCCTGCCTCTGCATCAAGTTGGCGGCGACCAGCTGTGAGACTTTATGAGCTGTTTGAGAATCCATGTCTTCGTGATGCGCAGGGTTCCTTGCTGCCGAAGTAGTCAAGGAAGACCAGGCATTTGACCTTAAACCAAGCGTGAAGCGTGTCTCATTGGCCTTTGGTCAAGGAATCCTGCATTTCATGCAGCGATTGAGGCTGCGAAGGTGCCCATTTGGTGCTACCAGTCCTTTCACGAGACATTTGACAAGTGCCCTATATTTTCCGTCCTTTTGGGATGGTTTGAACCGAGCATCATCATCGTCATTGATTTTGAGTGAAGGGGGAAATACAGGGAACCCAGAGCGCTCTGGGCAGGGGGAGGGCGGCTGTAGAGTCCGGAGAACCAGGACGAAGGGAGTTCCTTCTTCGCGAGCATGATCCAATAAACAAGGATGGTAAAGGCAAGATGACACGGCGACACGTCACAATTGGTTGGACTCTGCCGAACAGCTTCTTGACATTCGCTGACGGCCTTTTGCTCGCAAGGGACCAACTCGTTTGCCCAACCCATCATATGTCATACACAAATTGGCATAGGCATGGCAGTGGGTCACTCGAACCAAGAACTACCGCGCGTTGTTGACATTTGGTTTTGTTTTTACCGTTCCCGCAGGCTTCCGCAGGGACCCCTTGGGATGTTTTTAGAGTTTTGAAACCAAAGGGCCAGGGTCAAATCTTCATGTGTTTTGTTTCTTATTGTAATTTTGTAGTTGAACACCTTTTGTTCAAGCCACGCCTTATGTTTAGCTTGCGGGTCCACAACAGAAGGTTGTGCTCCACCCTAATGTTGACCTGGACGAATCAACTGGCGGATGAAACAAATCAGGGATGCAACTCCCCTGAACGGTGATATGCAGATACCCTCTAAAGGGGGTTGCGCCCGATTCACTACATTTCTCTGAGGGTTCCTCATCTCCGCCAATCACGATTGCGCGAAGCCCCCAAAACTTTACCATCGACAAAGGAAGGCACATGGTTTCCTTCATCTTTTGGCGCCCAGCGTGCTCATGTCCAATCCAGAGCGCATTTTCTTTTGCTGGCATGTTTTGGTTTAACTCATAAAAACAGAAAGCAATAATAGCAAACAATACAAACTCGATGATGTTTACATTGGACAAAAGGCAAATTGGTATGGGTCAAAACTAATTTACCGGGGGCCGCAAGTTTTGGTGCTAGGTTCCATTTCCTGGGGCAAGCCATTTTGGGGGTTACCAATTTGACCCACCAACCTTTTTGCTTGGCTTTTCTCGTCTCGATTTGTCGGTTGCCAGCTGGATCTCCGGCGATTTCCGCGTCGCTTCGCAGGTGGCCTCGAAGGCTGACGCCTACACGGAGCGATGGGAGGCGCATGTTGGGTGCGACCGGTTGAAGCGCTTGGGGGAAACCAGAAGGCCAAGCAAAATTTGAGGTGTCAAAGAATGAGAGGGGAAGCCAGACAAGAAACAGACACAACCACACCCACATGGAAATGAATGGACTTTGAAATGATGTGTGGTTCTGTCAGGGTGGACAGTCGTTGGCAAGTCCCCGGTCGATTCCCTGAATGCGAACCAACACAACCCAGATGTGTGTTCCAAAAAGCACCCCTTGGTTTGTGGCCTTGGAAGGGGAACTCAAAAATAACATGCAGTTCCATGTTTCTTGGGTGGAAGGGTAAACAGGATAATCCGCCCAAAGCTCAGCATCTAGCCCTGCTCTTGAAAGCAGCCGGTAGGATCCCCAAGGTTGGGATATACTTCCATTTTGGTGCAACATCTTTTGGATTAGTCCAATCGAGCCTTTGTTTGGTGGATGTTTGAAGGGGTCCTACAAGGAATGCCGCAGACCTCTCCCAGACTCCGGAGCTTCCAAACTTCAGCGCTCGGTTTCTTTGGTTGATGGAGTGAAGCCCTAGATCCTGGGATTTACCAAGTCTAAAAACGGGAACCCCTTCCGAAACATGTCCCGGCTTTGGGAGCCCGTTGTGGCATACCAATGCTTTCCATTTAAACGTGCATAAAATGCTGCCTATACTACATATCTATGAATAATTCAATCCAGGTTTCTGTTTCGAACAACTCCTTCCTGAGTCAGGCTTGTCGGGGCCCCAATTTGCAGCAGCCCCGATGGCCGAGTGCAGGAGTGGCAGGGCCGGCCCAACTGCGAAATACCAGCAGACCTGCGCCGGCGTGCCCAGAGAAATTCGTGAGCGGCTTCGGGCTTTGGAGCTTGTTTTGCGCTGGGGGGGTTGCGTTGGCCAAGGTTGGGTGAGGCGTTGTGTGGACATGGGGTGATGTTGGCTTTGGGTTTTGGGATGTGTTGGGAGTCTCGTTGGCTTGGATATGTTTTGGGACGGCTTAGGTTGGTTCATCGCTTTGATCATTGTTGTAGCAGGCTTAGAGATGGACTGGTTTTGGGCGGGCCGGCGCTAATAGGCTCTGGTTTTGCATGCTTCCCAGCGCTTGCTTCGTTTTTGTTACCTCCACGTAGCCATGTCCAGTTCCTTCTATGTGTTTTTTGATCATTGCTACTTTTTCTTCAACGTCGTTCCAGGCGTCGTGGTGCACCCCAATAAATTCCTTCTCCAAATTTTGCATGAGGTAGCTTTCCTTGAGTGAGCAAGCCAGTTCAGGTACGATCCGTTGACAGTATGGTGCAAGCGGGCACTGAAATTGACCCCGGAAAACCAGCACCCAGCGCGGCCGCCCGAACGACACGCCCTTGGCTCCTTCTTTTCCCGGCCGCCTCTTCGGGCCAGTGGGAGGGCGCAAGAGCGGCCCGACCCAGGCTGCTTGCTGGTGGCGAGGGTGGCCTTGGGGGAGGCAGGCGAACAGCTGGGCTGGCGGCTTCACGACTCGGGGCTGAGAAGCAAGTCGCTTTCTTGGGGTTCCTTTTCCAATTTTCAGGTGGAATGTCAGTTCACCCAGAAAGATGTGCTGAATCAGTGCACGTGAATGTTCGGAGGCTTTCCCTTTTCGTAGATCTTGATCCGCAACAAAAAGTCAGGCTCCCTGACGGGAAGCATAGCCCTTGGCAAATCCCCTTCACAGTGTTATACAAACCAGCCACTTTGGAATCAGAGAAAAGGTTCTTTCCCAGAAAGATGGCCCCTCCGGCCGCCACTGTGCCAGGAAATCAAAAGCCACCCATAAAAGCGGGGGGCCGACGCCCCCTTTTCGGCAGGTCTTCGAGCTGCGGGAGGCGGACAGCTCCCTGCGCCGGCCCCCGGTCGCGGGGGAGCTGCGCTGCGACTCCGTGCTAGGCGGGTCGACTCCTTCGATCCGGCGAACGCGTCCGCGTCGTGACGCGGAAGTGAGGAGCTCCGGAGGTTTCCATTTGAAGCCGGTTGAAGCATCACTTTTTGGACAAATATCTTGTGAGTTGCCTCTTGGTTTAGGTTGTTCCTTTTGCTCAAAGAACTTATTGGGAATCCAAGCAAACTGACCACCGTGCAAATGGCAAATTGTTTGAACACGTTTAATGCAGCAGCCCCAATGTGTGCAAATCGTTTAACCGCTTCCAGCGTCTCTGTTTGTCTGCGGCAGGAAGTTTGCTTGCGCTCGCTGGCTCCCAGGTATTCCCACTTGTAGCTTTGACAGCAGGTCAGCCACGGAAGCGTTTCAGCTGCAAGTGGCGCAGGACTTGACGATTGTCGCAGAAGCGTTGCAGCTGTGAAAAGCCGTTTCAACGGTTTAAACGGAATAAGTACAGATGTTGCGCCGTGAGAAGACCCTTCAAAGTAGACGAATGATCGAACTGCAGAAGGCAACATATTTAGTGGCTCTTGCAGATTCGTTGCGTCCAGCTGTGCTTTGCGGTGCAGGCTGTGTTCAAACATCATCCCGCTTAACATCCCGGAAACCCGTCCTGGCATCCGCAGGGGTGCCTCGGCACCGGGGGGGCTGCGTTGACTATGACGAGTTCGTCATCTACAAGCAGGCCGTCGGCGGACGGGTGTTTCTAGGTTGTGGAGAGGCCAGTGTCAAGGGATTGTTCTGCTTCTTCTTTTTCAGACACCATTTTTTTGCAAACGAACTGGTTTTGCTAGGCTGGAACGGCCAGACCAGAGTGCGTTTCTCTTTGTTGGGGTCGGGTCTCTAGGTTTGAAATATGTGGCGTTTTGTTGCAGGGGGCCGAGCCGCAGTCCAACAAAAAGTTGCAGAAAGTTGAGATTTAGGCTGCTTCTGTCTTTGATACCCTGCAGGATCCCCGAGATGGGAATCCCCGAGATGGGAATCCCACTTTGGTATCACAAGAGTGATCTTCCGCAACCATAGCAACAACCTTCCAAACTTGCGAAAGAAGCGGGGGGCCCTGCAAGTAGGCGGTTCTCTCTTGGTTCTTGGAACAGCATCCAAGAGGCCCCATGCTTGGACCAGGTGACTCAGCGTGAAAGCTGTCCAAGCCGGGCTCAGGGCCTTCGTGGCCTCTGGTCTTCGGCACCCGAATTGGTTTATAGATTTTTGGGAAACTGGATATTCCATTAGTGACTAGTGACGACATTTTTCTGGTGCGAATTCAGGTAAGGGACCCTGGCCGTCTCTCGACAAGCCATTGGAGTGGGCCAGTTTGAACATAGATTGGCACTGATTTCAGCTTGGCATCGATTCCAAAAGGCGCGCTTAAGCGGAAGCACGAGAGGCGCTTGGTTTGCCTGGGAGGGGTTCCGATAGGCTCCTATTTTGGCTACAAACTCCCCCCCTCCCCCCGAGACTGCTGATTTGACCCATAGGTCACCCTTTTTCCCATTCAGCTTCCGCCAAACACAAGGTGAATCGAGGGGCCTCTTCTTTCTCAAGGGTCAACGGGCTAAAATCCGATGGCTTCCTTCGTGATCTTCTGCCTCGCAGGCCCAAGCCACGCCCGCGGCCCTGGTGCGACTGGAGGGGTGGTCGGAGGGTGTTGACTTCCTCAGATGGTCCCCGAGGTCCTAAGGTGGGAAAAGGACCCCGGCGCCAGGGTACTAGGATTGCCTTGTTGGAAGAGAGGTGAGAAGCTGACCCTATGGTTCATTTGGGAGAAAAGGGGGGAGGGCCACCCAAAATCCCAACAAAAACCAGGGGGCCCAAGCAGTGTTGCCGTGACTTGAACAAAACCAAGGAATGTTGAATGGGGCTCAGGCAAAGAATCTCCGGAACATTTTCTCGAGCCAGCAAGGGAGTGATGGGGTTGTTTAGCTAGAATGCGCTGCCTGAACAGCCCTTGGCCCTGTGCCACAGGGCAAGCCATGGTTAAACCGTGCGGGAGAAAGAGCACCTCATTGTAAAGGGCCCTATGTCACTCACTGAAAGGGGATGGCATGGCTAGACAACATGAACCATGCTTGTAGGAAGGAATTGCTTGCCCCGATTCAGGTGAATCGGGGATGCAATGAAAACTGGAAGCTGGCAATGATTGGTAGTTCATGGTTGATTTGGGCAGGACATGATGGGGGCGGAACCCTAAAGTCTCCCCACGAAAGGAAGGGGGACTACCCAAATGGACGCAAGTAATGCTCTCCGGTGAATCAAGCATTGGGCTAAATTTTTGGCTGACCCCTTTCCGGTTGACTTTGCGCCCTGTTGTAGGGAGTGCAGGATCATGATTTTACCCAGCCCAACATACCAGAAGCTTTGGTGGTTTCCATTGGTTGCTGAAAGTGGATTCAGGCGCTTGGCGGTCAAACAGCACCAATTGCGAAGCAGCCGCCCCAGCACGCCACTCCCCAAAAGCATTCAGCATGGTGGCAAATCAGGCGCTACTAAGTTTATCGCTACATGCGAAGAAATATTAGGAACACATTGTGCTTTTTTCGAGCACGATGCTCCTTTTGCGCGAAGGATCGACATCATTCCCAGGAATCCGTGGACTCGGTCGATGTTTTGTATATGGTCCAGGGGCATCATTGTGGAAGAGGACCAAAAAACATGCCTGGTTCGCGCGGCCTCCGGGGCCCTTCAGTTTTTCTACCTGAGTTTCGGGTCGGCGCTCAATCTCCCCGACAAGTCGGCGATGGCCGAGGCCGCAGTTCATCGTGGATTACAAGCACACTGAGTGTTGCACCTGTAGGAGCTGTATGCACGGAATCTGAGGCGCCACTTGGTTCATATCCCGTATTAGGGCCAGCAATGTTTTCGGCCACAAGGGGTGTGAAGAATGAGGGTTGAGAATTGCACGGTCCTTAGTTGACCAACAGGATTGTTGAGCAAATTCCAGCCATGCAGTGTGTTTGCCGGGTGCAAGGTTGACGAAAGCCAAGCACGGCTCCGGATTCGGGCTTGCAATGTTCGCAAGAGAGACAGGTATTGGAGTCAAATCAGTTCCGGGTTTGGGGCGGGGCGGTGGCTCTGGCAGGTTCCAAGGGCTGGGGAAGTGCCCCTGCCAAAAGCAGGGTGCAGGCGCTGTGCCCTGTGCGCTGCCTGCTGCGTGCTGCACGGGGGTTCCAGCGCTGCACCCGACGTCAACTGCAAAACTGCAGTGTGCGACTTACGTCTCACCCAGTGAAGCCATGTTTCCCGGCCCATGGAAAGATGTTTCATAAAATACGCGAATGCAAAACAATTCGGACTCTGGGGCCCAAGCTATTCCATGGCTCTCTCACTTGTTACAGCTTCATATGCGGACCCACTGAAAAGGATCGACTCCATGGGCATTTGGAAAACATGGCGGGCATTTGCTGCGCGCAACGCCTTGAGCCCAGTTGTCCCAGTCTGGCGAGTGATTGCACAAAGGAAATGGCAGCCACACAAATTGGGTCGATTCCCGGCTTCCAGACCCACATTAAAGCACAATTAGAGCGCCAATGGGTGCCTCATTTGCTCCTCTTGTAGCGGATCAGTAGCTCAACGAACAAGTGTTAGCTGACAGGGAATTGCTCCTTTGTGCATGCATTAGGTGTTCCAAAAACCACCAAGCATACCATGGTCACAGTTGGACGGCCAAGTCTGATGCAGGTGTTGCATGTGGACCGCCCAGAGCGCCGTTTGATGCGCGGCTGGCGTGCTTGCTTTATTGGCAAGGCTTGCAAGGCAGGTCACAGCTAAACAGGGAATATATGCCTTGGACGACTTGTCCATTTGTTTGCACTCTGATCTCCAGCCGCACGTCGCGAGATCGCCTTGACTCTTTTTGGGTCAACTGGATGCAAAAGAGGGCGATCGCGGTTGTATCCGATGGGTGTGGCAGCAAGGGCAGGTGTTTGTGGCAAGCACAAGCCTAGTCCGAGCCAACGTCCAGGCAAAAAGCCAATTTGTCTGTGGCCCTTTTTACAAGGTCCCGCGACTTACCTGAGACTTACCCCTCTTTTTTGGACCTCATGGTGGCAGTTATGCAAGACACATCTGTTGTGCTGAGGATCGGGTGCTCCGACTGGTGGAAGAGGCTCTCGGCTTGGAGGTGTTGCCCCATTGGAAAACCCTTTCAGGAAATCATGAACATGGGGAATTTGTGTCCTTTTCACTCAGTAAGGGGATGTTTCAATGAAGTTCACAGCCAAATCAGGGACCCCTTCAAAATGTTGGATAGTTGCAGCGACTTGTATGTTGAATACTTCTTTCCTAAACCCAATGCTGAAAAGCGTGCTTGCGATTTGTGCGAGATAGTCGCTTACCACTTATTCCGCATGGGACCTGAAACGCTTTCAGTCCCTATGATGAGTGGATCCGCTTTTTGCCGCCGATTGCGCTTGTGCTTCCCTTCAAAATCATCGAGGGCATCCCCAATTTCAGGCACTCTGACTGGTGCTGTTCAAAAGGGCCGCAAAAGAACACCAATTGTTTGTGCTTGGAAACACTCTGTTCGTGCTCAACAGGATGTTTTGAAAGAGACCCTACCTCGCCTGCTACGGGCAATCTACTATGACTATGACTATGCCGGAGTCAGCCTGAGATCCCATTTGGCGGCTTGAGGCTCATTCATAGAGCAAGGACACTTCATTGTTGGTTTTTCCAGCTCATTTGAAGCCGGGGTAGCCGTACCCCCTCCCAATCACAAAGGGAGGGCATGTCGCGGAATGCCTGCTCCCATCACCCTCAGAACGTCCGTTTGCATGCGCCAAGCAATCAAAATGCACCAAATGGCTGCCGCTGGATTAGAGCCCCCACCTTGCAAATGTACAGCGGCCAGGCATCTCTCCCAGCAATGGTGCCAACTCGTGAAAACAAACCCGAAACAGCAAGCAGGCCAAAAACACAACAAACCACAAGAAGCCAAAGCGAAACATATCCAGATCCCAGAAGCACGCCTCCACCACATCAAAGTAAGCTCTGAAGCCCACTCACTTCAGAATTACGTGTCTTACATTTTTGGGTTCCCCAAAATGCCACTGGGCGGTCAAACAAATCCTGTTGTGGTGTGTGTGTGTGTCTATGTGTCTATGTGTGTCTGTGTGTGTGTGTGTGTGTGTCTGTGTGTGTGTGGGTGGTGGGGGGGGTCCTTTCCAGACGAAGTTTCGCGACGCTCGCGGCAATCGACAGCGGCCCAAGCGCAAGGTGGATTAATAGGGAGTGTCACATTTGAAAGGCAGGTGCTTGAGAAGTGGTGCGGGAAATTAACTTCATGAGAATCTCAGGTTTGTTTCGTGTCCCCTTGTGTTTTCATTGTTGGTTGCATTTCCCCGTTTTGCTTCCCCCCGCTACTCTTTGAGGAGTCATTCCCGCAAATTCGGAGATTCAGAAGGTCTTGAACCTTCAAGGCAACCCCTGCCCTTGGGTTCTGAGAACGACCGCCCTTCGTAGCCATCAATATGAATTGCGAGTATGCGCAACGAACCCTGAATTGGCCCCACTGGCTTCTCTGGGTCAACCGTTTTTGTGCAAAGTCTGTTGACTGTGGCCAAGTTGTGACAGCGCTTGCTGCTGGTTTGCATGTGGTCTCCGGGTGGTGACTTTGGCGTTCCTCCGGGGCTACGGTTTTCGCCCTTGGCTTCTTCCCGGTTTGTGTGCCTCTCGCGCCGGGCCAGGCGCTCCTCTCGGAGTCCAGCCGCGAAGCTCAGAGAAAGAAAAACATGGTGACTTCGTGCATGGCAGTTGGTCTTGTAAGCAACCCGCTACATTCCCTGTGGTTTTCCTGAAGGGTTTTTCAAGCGCTTTCTTCTTTGTATTTCAGGATTGTTCTTGTTCGGCTTTGGCTTTCCACATCCTCTGCATCACCAGCAACACCGTTAATCACCGCGTAGATATGCTCTCCCCTGCTTGTTTTTCTGCCTCTTGACCTCGTGGGTTTCACCCCAGGCAATGCCCGGGCCCACATCGTCGCTGCTCAGCAGTCAAAGTCTCCTTCCGATTGTGTCAGCTATGCTCCGGCCCAACTGCCAACGCTCCCTTTATTTTTGTCGTTCCCTGTGGCGCGGGTCTATGCTTGGCCCTTGTCCAGGTGGCTCTAGGCCTGAAACATGCAACATGTGTGGCTCCTCCGAGCGTTTTTGTCCTGCTTTCGGGTCTCATTCTCCCTGTGGTTGTAATCGGGGGTGGTTTCCTTTGATTTTGCTTTAAACCGCCCCAAAGAGGGTACCCTCAAAAACCGACGCACTCAGAATGTTTTGGATGGATTCCATGATTGAACATGGATCCCCCGGATGCCGCTGGATCCCTTTTGCTCCGAGGCTCCAGCAGCAACGGCTTCGTGCCCAAGTCGGCACGCCTGTGGGGGGGACGTTGTGCTTTTGTGCACGTGTTTTTGTTTTTGCGTATTTTCAAGGTGGGGAGGGAGAGGGTCCGTTCCTAGATTCACCATGATTGATTGGATGCTTTGACCAACGCGATTGAGTGAGTCTCAGATTACATGGGTCGTCAGAAGGGAAGTTAGGTTTCTTTTTGCTGCCTGCTGCTGTGACTTTTTTTGACAGTTCCCTTTTTGAAGGTCTAGATTTGGTTAAAAAAAAGCAATACAAACAGCAACCTAGAAGTTGTCAATTTCCGGGTTCGCCTTCCAGGAAAGCCTTTCTTTGGGGCTGCTGGGAACGGACTCAGAGGACTCTTAGCAAGGGGCTTCTATCCAATCCATCTTTCAAGAAGTAAATGGACCCCTTGAAGAAGGCTCCTGCGCTTTGAAGGCTCCCTTCATTTTCCAGGTTTCTCTTTCACGGCAACTCGTTTGAGGTCCCCATTTTCTGTGACGTGCTAAACGGCGCCTGAGCTTGTTTGCCCTGTCCCATTGCTGGGTTTACACCGCTGTATATTCTCCCTCCCACTCTTAAGGTGACCTGGAATTCCAAAGGAAAGCCGGAGTTCCTCAGGTTTTGTCGTGTCAAACCAATAGTCACGGGCCTGTTTTACGCCTTATATATTTGCTTCCAGGGCTTGGCCGGAATCAAAGAAGTGCCATGAACGAGTTAAGCCAGGCGAATCCAGCAGTCAGCCTGAGTCAGCCACGTCTTTCCACCTCCGAAATTCCGATTTCCACGTACCAAAGGCATCCGTCGGGAGGGTTTCGCTGGCCAGGAGATGTCGGTGCAGAGCATGGTGCAGGAGGTCGAGCGCGCCGCGTCGATGTCTGCGCGCCTCAAGCCGAAGAGCGAATTGGGAGAATGGGTTTTTGGGGCAACGAAGCTGTTTAGAGTATTTGCTGTTTAGAGTATTTTCTGTTTTGACCTGAGTTGGGTTTGAAGGGCACCTAAACATCTGTTGTTTGGTTTTATTATTGTTGGGTTTGGGAACTTTTCGGGAGCTACCGAGAAACAAAAGGCGTCAGCAACAACCCAACATTTCAAGAACCAACACCAAAACAAAGGGAGCCTTTCCCAAAAAGGGTTCTTGCTCCAAACGGGGACAGATTCAAATGTGCGAAATTGTCTCTGAGTCAATAGGCTTGACCCTCCACTATTTGAGGTAAATCAACGGCCATAGCTCTATTTGAAGTGTAGAATTCCGAAAATGAATGGGGTTCCGGAAATCCCTTAAAAGGGGGGGGGGGTCCCTGAAATTGCTTCAATTGAGCATAGGGTCCCTGAGTTTCCAAAAAAGCGGGGTTCGGGCTTCGTTGTTGGTTTCTGTTTCTTTTTCATCCGGTTGCCAAGTGAGCCGAAACCACAAACAGGGCCAACGTTTGGGAAGATCTTATGTCTTTGACCTTTACTAGAATGACGATGGAAGAATCGGACAAGAAGAAACTCAAACCTTGGGCTTAGTTGAACGTTGAACATGTAGATGCATGGATGTAAGAAAACAACTTGCATGGATCCTTACCAGAGATTTCAGCAGACTCCTTTGAGTCACGTGCGGCCGTGCGGCCTTGTTTGGGACTCACTTCCCGCCACTATGTATGGTATTCAATAGCCTCTTGGATGAACTTTGGGGAGTGGACAAGGGACAGCAAGTGGTTGATTTGCCTCGTCAAGCAAACATTGAAACGGACAAGGAAAGTGGAGTTTCTCCAACATTGACCCTTTGAACATGGCAACTTTTGAGTGGGTCTGGCCCGCTTCAAGAATGCTGTGAGAGATTCACTGAGATTGGCTGGAAGCCTCCAGGGAGGGGGTCAAGGGGGTCCTTAGTCTTCCTGGAAGGCTCTCCAAGAATGCAACCAGCAAGACTGAAGGCTGGCAGCTGAGGTATCCGCAGTTCTGGACTGAGGCGGCGAAAACATTGAAGACCAGGCACTCCGGTCGCGGGTTTTCAGGGAGCTTACGTTGGGCAAGCAGCAACAGCCCGCTAACGCTAGTGCCTGAACTTAGCTAGGAAGATGTTTCCCGTTTTGCGATATGTGTCATAAGACTAGCAAATGTGTCTCAAGCTCAAGCATTTCGCAAAATAGCAGTCTCCCGCCCGAAATGGCAAAGAGGATATGTTGTGCTAACATCCAGCCTGGCAATAGGGAGTATCACAAAGTGCATTCACACATACACACACACACACCACACACCAGACAAAAACACACGAACACAAACACAAGCACAAGCGTAAATGCACCGCACACGCACACGCACACGCACACGCACACGCACACGCACACGCACACGCACACGCGCACGCACACGCACACGCACACGCACACGCACACGCACACGCACGCGCACGCGCACACGCACACGCACACGCACACACACACACACACACACACACACACACACACACACACACACACACACACACAACACACACACACACACACACACACACACACACACACACACACACACACACACACACACACACACACACACACACACACACACACACACACACACACACACACACACACACACACACACACACACACACACACACACACACACACACACACACACCACACACACACACACACACACACACACACACACACACACACACACACACACACACACACACACACACACACACACACACACACACACACACACACACACACACACACACACACACACACACACACACACACACACACACACACACACACACACACACACACACACACACACACACACACACACACACACACACACACACACACACACACACACACACACACACACACACACACACACACACACACACACACACACACACACACACACACACACACACACACACACACACACACACACACACACACACACACACACACACACACACACACACACACACACACACACACACACACACACACACACACACACACACACACACACACACACACACACGCACCCCGTCACTCGTGCGCCAACACGCACGCGCGCACGCGCACGCGCGCACGCTCACGCTCACGCACACTCGCGTGCTCACGTGCTCGCCGCTCACGAGCTCGCAAACGCGCACACGCACGCTCACGAACATGCACACGGACCCGCGCACGTACACGCACATGCAGATGTACACACACACAAATACAATGGCACAAGAAGTGTGAGCAAATGTGAGCAAATATCAAACCGCAAAGGATCAATCCAGCCACTAGATTCTTAGATGGCCTCTGACTTGGCATTGGATCGGCCACAGCACGTACATTTGCAGCCTCTGCCATTCGCCTCTTCGTTGGCCATCCACCAATGGCAGAGGGGATGGGCCCCCTGGTTAAAAAGAACATGGGTGAACGCAGGCAGAAGTGCCTATTTGTGGAGTTGTGGCGACACACGGTTGCTTCGATTGCACGTTATAAATGAGTCCAACGCGACAGCTTTGGGGACTTCTCCTTTGGAGCTTGTTTTGAAGAAGCCAACGAAGCGTTGCTTGGCGCTTGCCTTCTCGGGGAATGCCTCAGCCTTCGTTTGGGGTCCCCTTCGCTTTGCCGCTTGCAGGGACGGCGGGGAGATGCTTGCACTAGAGGACGTGACGCTGGGTGCCCTGGAGCGTTCCAGGCGTGAGGAAGCAGATATGGCTGCGATTTTTTGAGTTTTGGAACCTTCTGCAACAGTCGTTGGTGGACTTAAGTCCCCACCTAAATGAGCACACCAACGGGTCACTTAAAAGTCATACTCATGAGGTCATTTATTCCATGGGGAAGGGATTTGCGCATTGTCTTGGGCCTTGATGGTACGTGCGACAGTTGACTGACTGGACGTCGCAGAGCCGAAGTCCACGAACCGCCCGAGGAGTCTTTTGCTGTCCTGGCTGCAAGACGCCACTATGCCGCGTCCTGAGTCTTGCCGATGCAGGGCGGTACACATGGGTTTGTCTCCAATCGGCAACCCTTGCCCTTCGATTTCTGCCTGAAAGGAACCATCAGAGGGATGCCTTACTTGGGGTTGGTGACTTATTGCCTTATTGCTATTCAGACGGCTTTCCACGATATGTTCCATGCCCCTCTCTCAGGTTCCTTGCAGCTCTGGGAGACGAACACCAAGTCTATTCCCTACACATCAACCGCCCAAACAGCATGAACATTGGTACTCCTTTTGCATGTGCGCATGCATGTTGGCGAGGCCATCGGGCAGGTAAGTGGCTCTCCATTTCACGACAGACGAAAGTCTATGCTTCTTATCGTGTTTTCACAAGACACGATTGGGTCAGCCGCGGATCGAATTTAGAAGTGCGCTCCGTGTGGTTGGGGAAGGGGTGGAATCAATTTAGCCATCAAGAAGCGACGCAATTTTGTTTGGCCACGGCACAAACATTATTAGAGGTCTCATTTGTGAGGCTTTCAACCAAGCATGTTCCGAAATCCGTCATCACACCGCAACCCCCAACTCCACCCCCACCCTGCGCAATGCCGAGTGACTCTGCTAAATAGCTGTTTCTGCAAAATTGCAAGCATACAGGCGACCTGTAACGTTGCCAGCCACTATTAGGCTCTTTTTCTCCCACGCCCACTCAAGACAAGCAGCGGTGCTGAAAGAAGAACCTTGTTGTGTTCTGGCCACTCAGAAGCCCGGCCACACGCCGTCATTTCGAATTCCGCAAAGGACATGACGAATTGACGAGTTGCTTTTCTTGCCCTGTGGCAACACAAGATTCTCCACTGACATCTCCAGGTTTCAGCGGGTCCAGACTGTCGTTTCGGGGTTTGTCGGCTCCTGGTTTTGCTGGTTAAAAGCGGCTACGTGGTTTCAGAGACACCGCTCGAGGGCTGAAGGGAGACAGAAGTCTGCCTTTTGAAGCGCTGGTGGCAGGGAAACAAGCTCCTCGTCCATGTGACGTTAGCCCTCCCGGGCCCTTGCAAGATAATATATCCCTTGATAAGTTAAGGGTTAGGGATGGTCGGTTTTTGATGGCAACCCCCACGATGAAGGTTCCTGTCTTAAGAGTCCATGTCCAAAATTCAGGTTGGTGACTGGTGAATGATACATAATTCACCCAGACCGTTGGGAGCACCTTCAAGGGAACGTGGTCGCTTTTGGAGAGAGCATGGGATCTATGATTGAACAGTGGTACCTCTCTGCGTCCAGACTGTCCAAAGCGGACAGGTTGACAGGAACCAAATTGCTGACCTTCCCTGCAGGTTCTTGACTTGGAGTCGACCCGTCTTTGAGCTTCCTCACTGGCGGTGAAAAAGTATCAGCAACTAGCAAAATGCCTTGCGAGGTGGGAGCACGAGAGGGACGCGCCGCCCCCGCCGCCAAAGGCGTGTGGAAGGGCTGGCGCTATTGGTGGAAGGGTTGGTTGGTGTGGTTTGGTGTGGTTTGGTTTGGTGTGGTTTGGTTTGGTTTGGTTTGGTTTCGCGTTTTTGAGGCTTGCTTCATTTTGTTGGTCGGTTTGGGCCTGCTTTAAACTTGTTGCGTGTTGGTGTTGGGGTGTTTTGTCAGGGTTTGTTGCTGGCGCTGTTTTGGTTGCGATAGTTAAAAGGTGTGTTGTTCTTGAAGCCGCAAGGAACTGCGCCGTTCAAGGAGGCTCTCAAAGCTTTGGTATGACCATTAGTTTTAATTGAGTTAGAACCCTTTGGTGGACATCATTTAGATAGGGATTCATGTCCACCAACCACTGGTGGGGTGGTTCCCTGTTAAGTTCCATAACCATATGAGAGGCTAGCATGTTTGCTTCTATGATGACTTCATCATTTGGTCTTAAGTTAACGTACCCCACAACCCTTTCCAGCTAGTTATTGAGGCCAGAAGCCCTTTCGTTTCGCAAAGCATTGGTTTGGGTAACGTCTCACGCGGGGGTAACTGAACCCGGGACAGGGGCGATCAGGTGGCTCTCTCCCTGTGTGCGGGCGAAGAGTTAGGGGGGTGATCTTTCCTGAGCATGAATTGGGAGATTTCTTCTAGGGTTTCCGGAGCTCCTTGACTGGGTTTTGTTTGGATCTCAATTGTAGGTTTTTCGCCCCAGGGCCATTTTTTGAGCACGGGTGTTCGAAGACCGATGGCATCTTTTTCAAGCGAAGTCACGCAGGGATTTGGTCTTTTGCAGCTGGAATATCACAATGCACCCTGTAAAGAAGCTACAGGAAACTCTTCAGGACATTTGCTGAAAAGGGTTTGGGTGAATCTCCAGTCTGCATCTTTCTTTTTTTTCTTTTGAGGGATCCCTTCTTGGTGGTTTTAAAGGACAACCCAAAAGGACCACAATCATTTTGGGGGTGCAAATCCAAAAACGACACACCCGTTAACGGAGGGCTCCTGTGGGCTGGATGCTGGGCAGGCGGCGAAGGGCCTGCCCGTGCTACTCCACGTCTACGACGTGTCTCAGGACGGGTTCGGGGGCCGAAAACGGAGCTGTTCTTGGGAGTTGTTGGTTCCTTTCCAGAACAAAGTGGTTGGTTCCGTCACATTTTTCCATGTCTCATACAGCTTTTTGGCTGACATACTGGGGTTGGAAAGTGCCACTCATGGTGTATGCATGTATGTAGATGCATGATTTCCATAGGTGCTTTCGAAAGGAGCGCAATGACCCAACACATGGCAACACCTTCCTCTTGCCGCACCTGCCCTTAATTTCATTGGCGCGGGCGGTGGTTTGAATTTTGAAGGGAATGGCCTGAAAATGCCACAGCCATACATGGGGTCACAGACGTGAAGGTGTCAAGGCAAGGTGACCGATCAAACGGAGCATGCTCGTGCCCCAAGTTTAGGAACATGCATCGCTGCGAGGCAGTAGGCGGACGTCTAGCGTAGGAACATGGGAGAAGCAGTGACTGGGGCCACCGGGTACCGCAAATGGGATTCCAGTCATACTCGCACAGAGACGCGATGGGGCAAAGAACAGCTGGACATGCTTTCCAGATTTCGCTCCCGTCTGTCCCCGGCCCCCCCGAAGAAAGCGCACCTGCGACTCGAGCGAGGAGGAAAGCATCCAGAAGCTCAATAAGGCCGGGTTTGGTCCCTTTCGATGGATTTGCTCTCTCACCCCCAACCATACAGTTCAAGCGAAGTTCACCAAGACCATGTTGTTGTTCAATGCCTCCCGAACGCAATTGCAAAAGCGATCCATTGGCGAGGTACATAGGGGGTATGAACTCGAATTGCTGGCGGAGCCTCGTCCCACCAGTCGTTCAGGGCATAGGGACGCAATCGTCTTTAGGTCAATTATGATACTTAGCCAGCCCAAAGTAAGGGACCTCCCCCTTGCACTCTTTGCGCACTCTTTTTTTTGAGGCTGGATCACGGACTGCATCCAAACACCTGGAGTTGTGTCTGGGTTGTGATTCGAGGCTCAACGAAAACCCGACCACGCGAAGCTCATGGCTTTCCTTCTGTTGTATTTTTGCTGGCGAGGTCTCGCCGTTCCCTCAGACTGGCAGGTCTTAGCTCACAAGCACTTCCCTTTGAAGTTCGGCGGTGTCTTCCACGCCGGTGTGGAGGCGGCCAGAGGGGGTGACAGGGCGCTTGCGCCGACCTGCTTCCTCAGGGTTGCTCGCGCCTTTTGAGGTGGACCTTTGGATCGGAAACTTAGAGAACCATTGGTTGTAAGTTAGGAATGATCCTGGACTTCTTGCCGAGACTTAGATAGTTAGTGTCTGATTTTCCGCTGAGGGCAGGGGATGGTCTTCCAAATGGACCCATAACCGTGGCCCCAATGACGAGTGTTTGACCATGGCACAAATCGAAAGAATGCGCTGGAGAAAGGTGGCCGTGGGCTATGGGCCAAGAGCATGTTGCAAAATAGCCCTTGAGGAAACTGTCCGAACCAGGACCCCCCCTAATCAGGTTCCGTGTTATAGATGGCATTTCAGTTTGGTTCTAGTCACATGCCAGTGCCATTCATTGTTCCAAAAGGACACCTCCCAGTAGTCTATGGTGAATTGGGAGGGACATTGCGCAAACTTTCTCGAGCCGAGAGGACTCATTGATTGGGGTCATGTGGAATTGTAAGAGCGGAAAAGTGAAGCATGCTCCTGGGTTCTTTGATACTACAAGTGACAGCCAGTGACTGACCTTTAGTGATCATGAATGGTTAGCGCGTGACAGTGACAAACTGAGAATGAGTAACATTGTGGGAAAACCCTCTTTTTTTCAGGTAAAGCGCTAAAGTAGCCATGGGGGCTAAAGTGGGCATGGGCCCCCGTTTTCACAACTATTTTCCGACCCCTGCCACCATGGCCAAAGCACCGCCTTCTACGAATCTGCTTGTCCTGCTTGCTCCTTTGCTGGTTGGTTTCTGGCCTCGAATCATTCCTGGGGTCTTTGGTATGTGGTTTTGTGGTGGTGGCTTTTGTCCGGTCCTTGTCCAGTTTGGGGGGTTTGAACAAGGAGGTTTGACTCCATGTTTTTTGAGGGAACAAACACCCCAGCCCTGAGATTTTCGGGCCCAGACCCTCGTTTGACACATGCCGCCTGCACGGAGGTGAACGGCCTCGAGTGGTGCTTCGGCTTCTCCGCCAGCGAGCTTGGGAGCTCGGGGGGATGGAGGCGATCCCGGGTTAAGCGGGGGTTTTCGGGTTTCTGCTGCAACGCCGCGCTAAAAGTGCAGCCCCTTTATTTCCCTCTTGGTGTGTGGGCAAAATATCACCTTCTGGGGCATTGAAAGTAAGTTTCACGAAGTGATGTTGTTTTCAGGGGAATGATAGGGAACAACGCTTCAAAGGGGCAGTTCCTGGCCGATGGCAAGCAGCCCTTCCATTACCCGTAGGTGAAGGGCAGAGGGCAGAGTCAGTCGGATCCGTGCCGAGGACCCACCCGGGCGTTTGCTGTGTCGAGCCCAAGTCCCACCCGCAGCACCACTACCGGCAGACGGCGCGGTCACCCAGGGCTGAGGTATACCGCCCTAGAAGATCTTGACGGGACAAGATGAGCAAAGTCAAAAAGAACTTTACCACAAGGGTGACAGGTGGATCAACTTTACACCCCTATGATCAAACGGAGGTTTTAGAGACCAAGTCGCCGCAGGCGTTGGCAAACGCCAGAGGGATCTTAAGGGATGATTTCTCATCCAAAGTAGGAGACCGGGTTTAAACAGTTGGGTTCTAGGATGCACAGCATAATGTAGTGCAAGCTGGAACCGTCTCATAGAACTCGCTCAAGCTCCCCTGAAAATACATTTTTAGTTTCCAATGTGTAGCGAAGGGTTCCCCTTGTGAAGCGGGGATTCGGTGTAAGGTCTTGGTTGCTGGTCGGCGCGGTGCGTTAGAAAACGTTCGCAAGCGCCCGAAAGCATCTGCGAGCGTCTGCGTGTGAAAAAATGTTGCGCCATTGGAAGTTGCGTTTCAAGCGTGCCTTCCATGGTTGTTGCTAGATTCATAGGCTTGCAAAGGGGTTGTGGTGAGGGGCTATCACTTATCAAGCCCCAAAAAGGGCATCATGGGATAGCCCCCCCCTCCCTACAGTCTCCCTGGCAGTCATGATGGATTCATTTGAATTCATCACACAGCGGGCGCGTTTGGCCTGCGTATGCGCTTGGGTTGAAGGCTCTTGCTTTGAGTTTGCTTTCCTCACGTCGGTGACATGGGAGGATGGGGCCAACTGGGCTATGCACAGCTTGAAAGCGACACATCTGGGTGAAGTACAGTTGTTCACTCGCCAGACCTCAAAAACGATTACCTTCATGGGCGAGATGGCAAACCAAATCCCGGAGGTCGCGATTTCATTTGCCCAGATGAGGATAAATTGCACGGAGAACTAGACACATATGGAACAAACACTGGATGCCATGAAGCCGCAAAATCTTCCCAAAGACCCAGTTGACACGAGCAGAGAGGCACACGCGTACCTCCCGCTATTTCTGCCGATGTCATTGGTGTTTGGGAGTGCTTTGCACTTTTCAAATTCCAGGCAAAAGCGCGTTCTCGTGTTTTGGGGGGTGATTTAGGGGGAAGGTGGCATGACATGACGGTATTCCGAGTGGATGTTGTCTTGCTTGTGATAGATGCCAGTGCCGCAAACCTCTCCAAACAAGTATTGATTGTTTACAGGGAGGGTGTTGAATCTAAGCTTCCAGCATTTCCACATTGTTCTCTCCAATTCGAAATTTATCATCGCGTCACTCGCTTGTGCCCCCGCTCTCCGCGCGTGCAGCTTATTGGACAAACAACGGCGTCCTCCTCAAAGTGTAGTTGGGTTTGTCTCGAAACAAGGGGAGCCATCTCTGTCAGGTTTCTCTTGTGCTTCCCTTTTCAGCAACCCTACATCAACAGAACGTGTTGCAAGAAGCGTCGTTGCAGCCGGGATGGGTGGAACCTAGTGAATTCGTTTTCTATGTGCCACATAGCCCATCCTTTAGTGTAGCAGAACCAGCCAAGAAGCGTCGTTGCAGCCAGGAGGGGCTTGGGTGGAACCTAGTGAATCGCCCATCCTTTGGTTTTCCTTTAAACCCATCCCGCATGGGGCTCCTTTTGAGAGACTCATGGCGTGCCCGTTGGCAAGGTGGAGATGGGCTATACGCGGCGTGAGCCGGACCGACCGCCGTGTGGGGGGACGGAGGGGCAAGGCGCATTGGTGCCGTTTGGGGGTCCCATTGGTGCACCCTCAAAAAGAAGGTCCCGGAATTTTGCCGTCAGGCTTTCTGGTTTCAGTTTAGTTTGACAATAGGATCCGCTGGTTTCAGCTTCAGTGTGGTTCCTTCCTGTTTTGTAGCTCCCCTGCTTCTGGGCTTCACGCAAGTGTCCGGCATTTCTCAGGGAACCCAACGACATGTTTGGTGTTGTTCCACTGAGGAAGTGGGTGGTGCAGATGAATCTGCAATGCAAACTCAGACCGGGGATATCATTTCTTGAGACCTGACCCGAGGACAGATCTCCAGTTGGGGGAATGAGTTGGGGCAATGAGTGCAGAAAGGGTTTCCCACAATGAACCTGTTTGTTTCTAGAAGCAGACAGGTTTGGAAGCACAACCCTACAAATCACCAGCAGAACCCATTCGGAAGGGTGGTCACTCAACCAGGACCCTGCTCACCTGGTTCTTTCAAGAATAGACCCGCCGCCACCTTGCTTTCCAGAACCTCTCCTGGCCCCAATCCCAGGAGGAGATTGCAGACATCGTCACTCAGCTCCTTGAGGACGGGTGCTTGATGCCTTTCGAAAAACGACAATGCTTGCTTTCCTTCTGTGTTTTTCTTTCGAACCAACGAGAACACACGCGCACAGACAACCTCACACAGACAAACACACACACACACACCCACTTGCAAGTGACTCCCCGAAACCTCTACGTCAAGGGTGAATGTTGATGGACATTTGCAGATACCAATGCATGGACCACTGCATAGAAATGGCAAGCGTAGCTACAAGGCATCTCATGTTGTATCTTACTGGTGAAAAATCGTGTAGCAACAAAAAAATATGGGTTTTGCGGGCCTAACCAATTGACTAGCTCCGTTGTAAGGCACGTGCAACTCGTGAAAGCTGTACATGTAGCTGACAAGTTTCAGGATGAGTTGTGGCCCAGTTTCATGAGCTTCAGGAAGTGTTTGCGGCCTTCCTTGCAGCAGACACATTATCCCCAGACCCCCCAGACCGTGCCAACCAAAACAAAGCAACGCCTCGTCTTGCAGGGGTGCTTCATAAACAGAACCTTTCGGGTCAATGGTAATCGCGTCTCTATTTTGAGGTCTATACTCTCTTTTGGGGTTGGTTAAAAGAGACACCACCAAAAAACAGGCCCCCTCACATTTCGCAGGTTTTCATAAGGAATCCGGGAAGAAGGCCCTCTGCGGGTTCCTTCCGGGGCCATAGGAGTATCCCGGCGACGACTACGACCTGCTGCGACGGAACTGCTGCCACTTTGCGGACGACTTCACCAGGCGACGAGTGCATTGGATCCTTGGGGCCCGCATGTTGGTCGAACGTATCATTGGACCCGTGACATTTCTGGCTGAAAAAATGGCACTGGCGTGCGCCCTTATCGTTGAACAGCAACGTTGGACCCGTTGCTTCTGGCTAGGCCTGCTATTGCTAGCTGAGCATACAGCGCTGGACTCGTTATTCTTGCGAAACAAATCACGTTGAGCAGTTTTTGTTCACTAGTGATGGGCTTGCCTATTGTTGGTTGAACATAATGTCGGATGTTAGTTTGACCATGACGATTGTTTTTGTTTGGTTGAGCATAACACTGGACCCATTTTGTTGGGTCGAGCACCACTGAAGAGTTTTGCGCACCTTGCCAATAGCGTTGGAATTCACTCTTTGTTGGTTGAGCTCAACTCGAGCCACCAGCCAAAATGCGTGCTAAGTCAGGCAGGGATCCAAGATGTCCCTCGGAAGGATGTTTGGCTTGAAGGAATTCCAAGATGTAAACCCTTGCAACTTTGGTTTGGCTGTGTTTATCCCTCACCCCAAAGGACATTTCTTCTCACGTCAGCATTCGGGTTCCACCAATGGGTTGTGTCAATATCCCTTTGACACTTTCAAAAGCGCCCAGGGTACCGATTCGGACACACACTCGACATACTCCACTCCTGCTTTTCACTGATCTCGTGAACATTCACATGGAAAGCCCTGTCAATTGGTCCTCAGTTTCTCTTTGGCCCTCCGAAAGTGGCCCTTGGAAACCTCTCAATTGCAACCTTGAGCAAATCCAGCGAGCCTTGACAAAAGATTCTAAACTTAGAACGGGGATGTGGGGTACTTGAACGCCAAATGGAGTCATGAGAACAGACAACATATGTATCATGAGGCCCAGGCCCCTTGTATCAAACGGTATCGTCTATACCAAGGGCGGCCTTGCTACTTTGCGGCGCATCTCGATCGTAGGCGACTTGGGGTGGGCAGCATCCCAGGCGCACAGGGTTCGCGCTTTCGTCTTTTCACGATGGATTCCAACTACGGCCTACTGAGAATCCCACAAAGAGGTTGTTTAAACAATTGATCATTTTCAAACAGGGGCGCAGCCCAACTGCATTTCAGATTGTTCAACTTAAGTGGTGCAATGTTTGTGTGGAAATTCACATGACCGAACTTTGCAGAGTGCGGCGTGTAAGACTTGGGCACATATGAACTGCTTGAAGTTTGCTCATGCTTGTATACTGGTCGTAAGGATGGACATGGACCGCATTTGCCCAGCTTGTCGATATCCGAGATGGCAATGTCTTGGTTTCAGGGGACTTGTTTCTTCTCAGGTTGTGTGACGCCACCCATTTCGGGGTTCCACCATTTGGAGAAAAGCCCGCATGATGCTTTCTAATCGAATGCCTTTTTGCCTTGGTTCTGATTTCGACATATGTTGCAAGGATGCGGCATGGCGACATGAGAGCAGCATTGAATCCCGGCGGAGAACATATCGAGTGCGACATGGGGATCCCACTCACAAAATTACAACTCGAAAGCGAGGGGTTGCTCAGCAAAATTCAGTATCAGTTGGGGATGACTGCCGAATATCACCCATGGCTTATGTGTTGCGAACGTGAGTCCCCCCTCGGGCACCCTGGTAACAGCTGTTTGAAGGGGTTTCAGACGGGGGAGGAACACACGGTATCTCACGGCGTACAGCATAAGCCTTGGTGCCCTACGAGGTCAGCACTCTTTGGGTGATTGATCCGAAGGCCTGCTTGCATTTAAAGTTAGGATACGAACTTTGTGCGGTTTGCAGTGTTTATTGTGGTTTCCCACAAAATAGAGATTATGGGCGCCAACCCTCCATTTTGAACAGCCCAGACGGACGAGCGATTTCCTCTGTAGATGTGTTGCATCCTTGGAGCTATGGCAGCCTAGCGGCGACATGCAGCGGAGCCGTATTCCGCTCGATCACTTCGCCCTTTAGTCACGAAAGCACACGTGGAACCAGTGATCTTCCTTTACACGGCTGTCTTTTGTCGCTGACATGATCTGGCCTTCGGACACCCAAGTAAAGATTTCTGGCTCTCCTTATCCTTGTCTCAAATAAAGGAGTTATTTTTGCTAGGATGATCCTGCTTTGGTATGCCATTTCATGTTCTTCCTTTCCTTGTCTCTCTTGGGAAACGTGAAGTAAACGATAAGGGATGAGAACCTGACCAGGGATGGCTTCTCAAACAGATACTGCGCAGAATTAGGTACACGCGGCTGAAACAAGTACGCAGACGCACGAGAGATTCTCTGATGATCATGACTCAACTGCTTTTTTTTTGTAAACGTCCACGTCCCCATTCAAACGGTTTAGGCTCCTGTCACTTGAAGCGAACAGAACTCCTTTCCCAGGCTGGGTTATGCGCCTGGCCCGGGTGGGCGCGGGGGCGCGGAGCCCGGCCGGGCCGGGTGTCTAGCTTCGGGAGTCGGTCTGCAACGGGCCCCTTTCATAGGGTTCCCTCGTGTCTGGCTGGGGAGTTATGACAGGGTTTTCTCAGTTTCCTTTTGTTTGGAAACCTCTAAAAGAACTGGCAATTTCAATGGACATTACTGGTAAAGTGCAACTTTTGAAAGGAAATCCAGTGACCCCTGTATGATGATTCGCCCAGACCTCTTGCTTTTCCCTGGTGCTCAAGGGAAATGGTGTTTTCTTCATGGCAGCATACTGTATACACACAGCCATCATCGACTAGCCGACAGCCTTCGGGAGAGGCCTTGTCACAGTCTCCATTTAAGGAGAAGGCAAAACCCACGTGCTTGATTGCATGCGCGGGGGCGTTTGTTTGTTTGTTTGTTTGTTTGTTTGTTTGTTTGTTTGTTTGTTTGTTTGTTTGTTTGTTTGTTTGTTCTGTGTTGTTAGGGGTTCAGAAGATGCGGTTTTGGAAGGTTGAAAAGGTTGTGTTTGTCAAACATCTCGCGGAAGTAGTTGTCTTCTCTTACCGATGTTGCCTTGCCTTCGTGGGGTTTTGTGCCCTTGTGATTGATTCCAGTCAATTACAAACGTGGAGTGGCGGCCAGGGCCCTGTCAGAGACGAAGCGAAAACGAAGTAGCATGTCGGTTGATAGGTAAGACGAGCTTAGCTGCAGGTAAGTTGTCCATTTTAGAAGAAACATGAGGAGTCCCTTCCCCCCCTCCCCCCGGCCCCAATCGTTGTGAAGTTGCGCCTGGAAAACCTGGTTCCTTGTGGGACAGTATCTTGAAAAGTTTCCCAGCCAGGAACAGTGGACCCCAAAGACACCAAGATAAGCTTTTTGAAGCCCACTTTGTTGGGGTGTCGGGGTGGGCGTCCGAAATGGTGCGTGGGTCCCCACCAGGCACCTCATGCGGAATCTGAGGTGGATGCAATGATCCAGTCCGCGCCAAAGCGCCTCGTTGGCAGGGAGGATGTATTTTATCGCTTATATTGACCTCAAGCAGTTGAGTTCTGCGTCGTCTAGAGCAGGAACGACGTGCGGAAAACGGAAGGGAGCCAAACCTCACCGCGTTCCCACCCCAGCGTGGGCATGGACGCAGGGTCCCTTGCTGTGTTCGACCCATGTTTCACCTGCTTGAGGGTCCCTTGATGAAGCTGAATCCGCATGAAGTTAATGCGGCTCATCGTTTATCCTAGATAATTTCAAGTCCATTGATACGCCTATGATATATTTTGTAGACCCGGAGAAGTCATGGGTTTGAGGCGCTGTGAAGTTGTGGTGCTTCTCTTTCATGCTTGAAAGCCAGGGGCGAGTCATGAGCTCACAACACGAGCCCACTCGCAGTCTACATGCCCCCCGGTGTGGAGCTACGTGTTCCGTTATTTCTCAAGGCGCCACAACGAAGAATGGGCAAACTAGGTGCCCTGGGAAAAAATAGGTTTGGCCCATCGTTCCAGCGATTGTTTCAGAGCTTTTCTTGGAGGGGGCCACTGTGGAAAAGGCATGCAGGTCTTGCCATTTGTCACCCTTGTCGGCCTAGTAATCACCAAAGAAAACGTTTTGAAGGGAATGTACCAAAACAAAACGAAACGCCCAATGTGTAAACCTCTCTAAATGTTTGAAAGTCGGGACAGCTGCAGGACCTTCGTGTTTTGGGGGTCACGATTTGCTTTTTTGATCGAGCCGCCCTGTCCTGCCAGTCACTAAAAATGGGCGCTCAGGTTTTATCACCTTGAGATTTTACATGCTTGTTTCCCCTGATTACTTACCATCATCACCATGGGAGCCCAGTCAAGTAATAAAAAGGTTTTTTTGTTGGGTGGGTGCCAATCTGGGTTGAACATCCGTTACAGGTCGTGTACAAGCATCATTTGGCCCAAGATCTAAGTCCCTCCAGTCTCTCAAAGGATTCGGTGGCTCCATCCAGGACGTGTCCAGGCGCCCCGTGAAGACACCTCATGCTGGGCTGGGAATGAAACTAGGGGCCCCGATTGGTGAAATCTACTGTAAGGAAAGATGAAGCCATGATCCTTCAAAGCCACCCCAGCAGTGGCCAGTACTTGTTCATCTCCAGTCATTTAGAATCAGTGGATTCTCATCTCCTTCCCTACCCCCTGGAAAAGGACACGCCTGGGATCCAAAGCTCCGAATTTTCCGAAACGGCGAGGCCCATCCGGCAGCGGCTCGGCTACTTCCAGGGCTCAGACAGCGACTAAGCTTTCGCCTTGCCTCGGCCGGAGAATTCGATGTCGAGCCCATGGCGTGGCGTGGGCGCAAATCGCTTGGGTTTGCCATGGGAAACTGCAAGCCCCCCCCGCCCCCCATAGCCCTCCCCCCCCTGCCCGGGGGTCCATGAGGGAAGACTAAGAGATGAAGTTGGTGGGACATTAGAGCTGAACAAATGTCGCGCGCTTGCTCTGGGATGCCGCTCAACGATACCACTGGAAGCGGCCCCGATGCAGTCCTGTGACAGTCTAAGAGGAGAACGTGGAGCAAGGTTATCCCGATTCTTAAGGGTCATGCAGACTGCACAAACCTGATTTTCTTTGCACCCCCCACTTCTGAGTATTTGCTTACAACAGCCTAATCCATCAAGCTGTGCTCGTTCAAGGCCAAATAGCTCAAACAGACATGTTTTTGTCTTTGGGAATCCAGAAATGAATCTGCTCTTGGATGTTCCACTTGTTGTTTTTGTAGTGCTCCATGCAGCGGGCGATCGCTGATAGTTGGCTTCTTGCCCAAGTGTGGGACATGCCCGGGTGGCATGGGCTCTTGTCATGGAGGACGCTAGGCGCTAACTTTGTGTGTGCGAAGAAATTTAGTGCCCCTAGACCAATCCAAATCACGAATCAAAGGGTTGGCTCATTGGCCCACCAATGGCTGGGCCAAGCGGGCACACACACACACACGGACATGCTTTTGATTCGTCCAGATTGGTTGCTTTCGGGGTGTTGATTGATTTTGGCACTCTCCAATGTCGCTCGCCTTGCACGTTTGGATGGTTCGGCCCGGAAAGGGCCGTTCCGCCCACAACAAAATTGAGTGAGGGACTTTGCAGCGCCACACACAGGTGGCCGTGCTCGGCTGCCAAAAGCAAGCAAAAAGAGGCCTGCTGCCAGGGTGCAGCAGGTTCCAATGTCCTCCCCGCTGCAATTTGAACTTCCAAAGATGGCAGGAAGATCGAGTTGGTCGAGCTGAGAACACGCCTCGGAAAATAGCAACCAACATATTCGGCCTCACAAACCAGATTGGGTTTGATCAAGCGTATTCACAGCGCTTGTTGGAAATACCATGTACTCCCAAGAAAAAATGCTTGTCAATGGCATTGAGGCTCTTGTTGGCGGGCTGGAGTGTTGGTGGGTTGGCGGGTTGGTTGCTTGGGTTGGGCTGGTGGGTTGGGTGGTAGTGTGGTTGGTGGGCTGGCTGGTTGGTGGGTCGGTGGGTCGGTGGCTCGGCAGGTTGGTTGATGGGTTGGTGGATTGGTGGATTGGCGGGTTGGTAGGTTGGGTTGGTTGGTTGGTTGGTTGGCTGGCTGGCTGGCTGGCTGGTTGGCTGGTTGGTTGGTTGGTTGGTTGGTTGGTTGGTTGGTTGGTGCATTTGTGCACAAGGAAGGGTCTCCAAGTTTGTTTGGCCTTACCCAGAAGTGAGAGGTTTTGCGTCCAGGTTCCTGACAGCTCCGATTGGGGTCAACACAACTGAGTCAACAGGCAAAGTGCACGGGCAAACTCCGCTCCAAAAGTGCTCTATCAGGAACTCGCCAGAAAGTCCCTTTTAAACATGATATACGGATATACCAGATACCTTCTCTCAGGTTGTGGGCGCACCAACCTATGTTTCTACGCAATGTAAAACGAGCTGGCGAGGGGGCAAAACAATCGCACCCATGAGAAAGAGCCAGCAACGTTTGGACGACCCCCCTAGAACTCCATCAGTGGCCTGCTGCCGGCTGTCCGAGCAAATGAAACGGACCCACCTGGCTACGTGTCAAAGCCATGGTAGCTAAGGGAGGGTATATGCTCAGACTTCCCTTTTCAGGGTGCCTTGCAACTTGTTGATTCCGGAAGGTTTAACCTGGTTTTGACACAACTGACAAACTTCTCGGTCGAGCGCGACTTTGTGGACAGGGTACCCCAGCAACCAAGGAGGCGAGCCCAGTGGATCAGCCCGCCAAACAACCGGTACCCTCAGAAAAGACACAGACACACACGGAAAACCAGCGGTCTAAACTTTAAGCATCGTTAAGAAGGGGTCCCTTTTTCTACTAATCCCTCGGGTCACTCGAAGCCACATCAAATCACGAGGGTAAATCGGTTTGGCTTCCAGCGTCCAAATTGAGGACAGGTCCCTCGGCGTATTGGAAGGGTTTGCACCTTGCTTGCCCTGGCCCCCGCCAAGTGTCCCATGCCCATGTGACCAGGCCTTGGTCAAAAGACCCAAGTTCAACCATCAAGACCATTGGGACTCACAGTTTTAGGTTCTGGCAGGGTCGTTTGTCTCATGGGATATTGCTCCCTCTTGCAATGTTTTGCTTCTTACTGCCAAACCAGAAAAACTACAAAAGGTAGCAGCTCCAAAAATACCCCCCCCCCCCCCCCCCACATGCGTTTTTTAGCCTGGCACACATGAGTCACTGATGGCTGGTCGCATAGCACATGCAGGGGGGTCCGAACATGTTCGCCACAAACCCATTTGTGCCATGGTCAAAGAACCCCGGGGATTGGTATGGTTATGAATGTGCCAAGGGTTTTGAGCAAGCAACGTGGTTGCTATCAAAGGAACTATGACTTGGATAAGGAGTTTTGACCATGGCACATTGTTTCCTCGGTTAGGGTCACCCAACTATCCTGAGTCCCAGCAAAGAAATGGTAAACAAGGTGGCGTGCCCCAATCATTTGCGGCTGCAGCTTTCAGCACTCAGAAATGAGTACACGATCACTCAGCATGACATGGAACAAACACGAAGGACACGAAATGACTGGTGGCCCAAAGTGCCACGAATGCCATTGAAAGAACCACTACGCCAGTCTAAGATTGCAGACACGGGGTCCCGCAGCCGTCCTGATATCCTGCTTTTGACGTCATGCTGCAGCCTGAGATGAAGAGGATGTTGGACGAGCGGTTCAAATCTTGTCGATGCATCTAGGCGTCCCCATGAAGCCTACTGTGGGGTGCTCGCGGGTCTTGGGCAAACTGTTCGAACTTGGCGAGCATCTCGGCGTGCGGCATCGGGATTGCGTCTTTGCCCAGGGATAGGCCGGAGACCTCGAAGCTGAAGCCTCCAAGCGCTTCCAATCGCTTCCCTCGTCCAAAATGCTACTCAATGGTTTCACAGGTTGTGGAGGGCTCCAAGAAAAAAGCAAGTGTAATGCCGCCAAGATATGGGCACAGGGTTCCTTTACGGAGCGGGCGCCACAAGCTTCACAATCCAACCAGTCATTTGTATTTGGGCGGGGTTTGCTTTCAAACTCAAACGATCTTTGGAGGTCTGGACCAGTGCAGAATGGCTCAAGAAGGATTTTGCTTTCCTGCTCTCAGCGGCCGCTTGCAAGCGAGTCTCCATGCTGTGAGACCTGTTCATGCTGCTTCCTTCAAAATCAACACTACCATGCCTGTGTGTGGGTGTGTGAAACGAGTTGCCCCTTGTGTTTGAGTGAGAGCCAACATGATTCACACAAAAATGGAGGAGTCCGACCAAACAACGTTGACCACCCTCAGTGCTTAGAATTCCCTTGGGGTCCCTCTGGATCTTTCAAGGGTCACGTCGAAGGGTGCTAGAGAGGTGTCATGATGTGTCCCTGGTTTTGTCTCAAAATTAGGGTACTCCCCCACAATATGGCAAGGGTTTCCTTTCGCATTCCCTTGAAAAACAAGTTCCTTTTGCTCTCCCCTGGAAACCGACCAAAAAGGGATTCCCCTCAGAAATGGGGGGTCGCGCCCGTCCTCGCCACACGGCTATCCGCTCGAGGGCCCGTTGCAAGTCCTCCGCTGCGAAGCCGGGGCGCTCGGTCTTTGGATTCAAAAGACAAAGACCTCCGAAAGCATTGCCACACTTACCTTGCAGTTTCTCCAAAAACAAAATAACTGTTCGGCATTTGCCGCTTTCGCCTTCAGGCCCCTATTCAACCAGCAACAGTAGTTGTCATGATCACGGGCTCAAAGGCTGGCCCAGAGAATTGGTTGCTCCTCGTCGATGATCAATTCTATGTAAACATTTTCCAAACAGATGGGGTATCACTCAAATTGCCTTTCAATCCATCCAACACAAACCCGTCCGACCACAAATGATTGCTGGAGTTGGGCTCCGATAGAAAGTGACTCGTTTCAAGTGCTGCCCTCAAAGGGGCGGGAGTCACAAGCTTCGACTGGCAGGGAATGAGGGAATGACCCCACTAGACAAACCCGGTTTCCAACCAGTTGGCTTGGTTGAGTTGTCGAAGCTATGCGTGCCCGGGGGACACTTAGAGAGGGCCTTCCATGCAGCTCGTACAATGTTGCGCCTGCCGCGGTCACGCATTGGCGGTACAAGAATGCCCAATTGGGCAGGGCATGGTCATCAAACCTTTGACGGGGAATCTAGACAACCACCATGGCGATGTATTGGAAGGATGTCGGGACAAACGAGTCTTGACCATAGCTAATTGGTGGATCAGGCCTTGATTATTTCTTCCTGGACTTCTCTGGGGACCTCTAGAGAAGAGCGATCACAACTCCTGAGCGAGAGGTAATTTCGGCGAGTTGCGGCGACCCTGCCAGAGGGACTTGTTATCTCACCCTTCAAGGTTCCTTTTTTCAGGCTGGCAAATCAATTTGACATATCCAGAGTACAAAAGCAGGAACAATTGGCCGCAAGACCGGCTCCGGTAGGGATGGTCATCAACCTCTTGAGAATTTGATACAACTGCTATACGGGTTCTGAACCACTACCATGACCCGCATGGCAAACTGTTTTGTTGGATGTCCTTTTGCTTTCTGCGCCTGCCAACCGTCCTGTTAAAACCGCCTGTTGGAAAACGGCAATGGGCTCCGTGAAAGAAAGCGAAAGGTGGTGTACGAGCACAACTGCTGAAGTGCGATGGGTGGGTTAAAGCCCGTGGGCGCAAGGTGTCTGGCAGCGGGAGTGGTGGTCTTGGCGAGTGTGGGGCTTTACTGGCAGGCAGGGGCTGGGCAAGCAGAGTTGGGAGTGGGAAGTCCTTCCCATGAGCAACAGACCCCAAGC